GCGTGTCTAAGCGCTCGCTGTACCTCTTTCGACTGATCAGAAAGAGGCACACCAATAAAAATGTGCTTAGAAAAGGGAATTCTATTTATTTACTACTACTGTGTCCATTAATTAAAGTTACACTGTTGACGATGACCATTCTGTAAATGCCAGGTCACAGCTAAAAAGATCAATCCATAATCGTCAGTCAACAGATGACTCATTGCTGTGGGTATGGTTTCTATTTCAAGTCCCCTATCTTTTTATTCATGGTTGACCCAAAAGGATCACCATTCACTTAAGACGGATGGATGGATGGACTGACGGAAGGAAGGAAGGAAAAAGAAAGAGAGAGACAGACAGAGCAAGAGGGAGGGAAGAAGGAAGAAAAAGAAAAAGAAAAACACAATGCCATTCACATGAGCACACGTGAAAAGAAATATTTAGGTATAAATCTAACGAAACACTCGCCAGCTCGATACGAAGAAGACGTAAAACTCTAATGAAGATGTAATCAAACGCAGTCCACGTACGAGGATACGAGAACTCGGCGCCGTACGGACGTCAGGTCCCCCCGTCCGGACCTACAGGTTTGATGCGACCCCAGCCAAAATCACAGCATGTTATGCTGGGGATAATAGATCGGTTTCTAAAGTTTACACGGAGAGGCAAAAACCCAAAATACCCAACACGATACTAAAGAGCAGTCTGAGGACTGAAACTACCTAATTTCAAGACTTCCTAAGAAGCTATGGCAACCAAAACAGTTCAGTACTGGAAAAGAACAGACAAATACATCAATGGCATAGAACTGAGAGCCTAGAAATAGACTCACGCTAATACACTTAGTTAACTTATCTTTGACAAAGGAGCAAAGGCAATTTAGTAAGAAAGGATAGTCCTTCAACAAATGGTATTGGAACAACTGCACATTCACATGTAAAAAAAAAAAAAAGGAATCTAGACAGAGACCTTATATCTTTCACAAAAAGTAAGTCAAGATAAATTATAGTCCTACATATAAAATGCAATCTAGAAAACTCGATTAACAGAGGAGAAAATCTAGATGCCTTGGGTTTGATGATGGCTTTTTAGATCCAACACCAAAAGCATTTAAAAAACTCCAACAGTGTTTGCATAAAGGAAAAAAATGAAGTTTATTAAAATTAAAATCTTAAAACGGAAACATTAAAAACTTCTGATCTGCCAAAGACACTGTTGAGAATGAAAAGACAGACCACAGACTTGGAGGAAATATTTGTGAAAGACATATCTAATAAAGGAGTGGTATCCACAATATATAAAGAACTCTTAAAATTCAACAAGAGGGAGGAAAAAAAAACAGTTTTAAAGATGGAAAAAAGACCTGTACAGACACGTCACCAAAGGATAAACAGATGGCAAATAAGCATTTGAAAAGACGCTCCATAGACGTGTCATTAGGGGATCGCAAGTTAAAGCAACAAGACACCACTCGCACGCCATCACGATCGCTGAAATCCAAAACACTGACAACACAGAACGCCGGCCAAGACGCCGCGACGGGGACGCTCGGGCCGCGGGACAGCATGGCGACCGCGGGAGACAGCGTGGCAGCTTCTCACAAAACCAAAGCTGCTCCCACCGCGCGATCCAGCAATCGCACGACTTAGCACTGAGCTGAAAACTTACGTCACGAACCGACACGCGAATGTGTACGGCAGCTTCCTTCATAACCATCAAACCTTGGCTACAATCTAGATGTCCTTCAGTCTTAAGTCAACGAATAAACAGTGGTCCACGCGTCCAACGGAATCGCTCAAGCTGCAACGAGTACTCCGTCACCGCAGGGAGTCACATGAGCAGCATCGCCAAAACGTGTAGAGAGAGTCCTTTCGACTGACAGGTACATTTTTAACATTCATCCTCCACCTAAGAATGAAACTTTCGGGTACGTCTCTCACGCTGATCTGTCACACTCAAAGGGCTGCTATGATGAAGAATGTTCTATACGACATGTCGTGACACACTTACAGTTTCACAAGTAAGACATCTGGTTTCATTAGTTAATGTTCCCTGAAAAATCTCATGCACCCACGTCGGGTCCGGTGCGCCGCCGCTGCCTTCTCCATCGATGCTGCCGTTAGGCAGGCGGCCGTTCTGTTTCTCCTGCTTCCTCTCTTCTTGTAAAATATCAGCAATTGTGTTTAGTAGGTAATTTAAGAACTCATGGGCATCTTGCTGCATGTAGTTGTCAAAAAGCTCTAAAAATAAAAAAGATGTTAGAGAATTATTTCGGAATTGATAACTTCATTCAAAAACTAAATTGAAAAAAGAGTATCTAGTCATTCGTCTGAACTAAGAACGGATGTCTGGTGGTGTTAGTAATATACAAGAAATAAGTGTCTTTCGCGTCTAAAAATTACGGCTGAATTTGAGGAAATAAAGTTAAGATGAATGAGAATCTTTTAAAAAAAAAATAATAATACTAATTGATCCACGAGAAAAGGACCAAACCTAGCTTCACACATTTACATAGTGTATTGGGAAGACAAGAAACAAATGTTTTTTTATTAGCTCATCTAATCTATTATTCCACAAATATTACAACATGGCAAGTTTCAAAGCAGAAGCTGGACAGCCTCTCGCCAGCGTCAAGCCAAATGCATGAGAACCGCACAGAAAGTCTGTCATGTCACGAACGACTCGGCCATACGTCCCAGAGATTCTGACTTCGTGAGTCACAGGTGAGACCTGTAACCAGGGACTTCTCAGAGCTCCTCTGATGTGCATTCAGGTTTAAGAAAGAAACGATCTCAGAAATTATTTAATCGAGGTCATCTCTAAGGCCCCTTCCAAACCTGAGGTGTTATAACTCCAGGAAATGCAAATGAATGACACTGGAAACAGTGACCGTCGCTAACGAGTGTTTCGCCCTGTGCCCGCCATCACAAACCCCTCAAACGGGAGAACGGAGACTTCAGAGGCAGAATCTCATTTGAGCTTAGCAGCGCCGTGATATTGTCATTGTACACACGAGGAAATGGGATCAGAGAGGGTAAAGTCACGCTGCCAGGAAACGGCACGGGCAGGACCCCGACCCGGCGGTCGACCGCGCTGGGCCGCACGCGAAGCTCATGGTGTGAGCTGCGCACACGACAGTACCTTCATCTTGGTCACAAGGACTCACTGAGGAATGTCTCCTTCAGATCCTCGATGCGCATTCAGTAAATCCCAGAAAGTTTACAGCTTACAGTTTTTAAGTGAAAGAATACAAATTTAGAAGAGAATTTACAGAAAGTCTAAGACGAAAGGAATAAAAAATTACATTGTAGATGAGCTACACATAGGACTGCGTAAAAGTTCTACGCACAAGAAATCATTTAAAAGTTACAAGGAAAAAGTAAAACCTGAAAATTATCAACACCTTCCATATGTAAAGAGCTCGTACAACAGAACATGCAAAGCGGGCAAAGGACTTAAAACCAACATTTAAAGAAACAAGATTCAAAGGGTTAAAAAACCCGAGGAAACATTCGACCCCATGGTAACCAAAGTCTCGATTTGCCCATCTGTGAAATGGAATCCCATCTTCCTTTGCAAGGTTATTGTGAAATTAAATGGCGGCAAGTGAAAATACTTCTCGGGGAGGTGAGAGAAAATAAAGCACGAGTTGATCTTGGTGTCAAAGAGACGTTCAAACAGTGTCGCAGGTGAGGTGCAGCCGGCTGCCAGGGCGAGGCTGGGTTCGCGCTATGGGCTCATCGTGCACAGCAGGAGTCGCTGCACGAGCCCTGCCACCGAGACAGCCTGCACCTCTGCAAAACGCCTGGCCACCCGCTGCGTCTGTCTGAGACCGAGTCAAGTGATGCTTGGAAGCCCCGACGGTTCTGCCACTGGACCGGTCAAGGCCAATGTTGAGATGAGAGAAGTCCACTGCCTTTAACCCTGCCTCGCCATGGGGTCATCCTCCCGTCCCTGAAGCAGCACCCCACCCTTTTTCCTCAGCCCCCGCTCCTGTCCTCTGCTGCTCACGTTCACTCGCTGTCCCTGGTCCCTTCCTCATCCGGTCACTTTCTCCTTTCCCAGCCCTTTCTGCTGTTCCTCCTAGGAGCCGCTTTCTGTCCTAAACTCCCTGTCTCTTCAGCCTTCGGCATCTTCGAGCTCCCCGCTGCCGCTTTTAACCCATGACACTCTACTTGCACGTAAAAACTCACCCGCAGTCAAAACGGCTCTTAAGATCTGGCCACACCTCCCTTCGCCCTCCTACCCACCCCCTCTCTCCCCCTCTGATGGCCAGACTCACGGTTTCTCCGTCCACCCCGACTCCTGCACTAACCCCAATGCTCTCGGCGTCTAGGCAGCTCTCTTTTGTGCACGTGAACCCCTTAAACACGAACAGCATCCCTCCGTCACCCAGCCTCTCGCCCCAAGTCACGTGCCCGCAACCGCCCACCGCAGGAAGTCCATTAAGGCAAGGACTGGAAGGGGCTCGTGCTCCAGTTGATCGGGGGGCTCGAGGAAAGTGGAAACAAACGGGAAAAGTCACTGAGGGGTCTGAAAGGGAGGGCCGTGGGCGAGGACCAGCGAGAAGATTCTACGACCGCGGCCTAGCTCACTACGCTGGATCTCCATTTACACGATGGCTCAGTGCCACCATCTGAAGCAGGCTCATTTTCCCTGGTAAAAAAACAATATTTTAGCATATATGCATGTTTTTTTTAAAAGAACTGCTTTTTTTCGTGTAAAGCAAAAACTGTGCAAATGTTCCTGTTTCATACAAACTTGAAACATGTTTTTTTGGATGTTCTTTTTAACGGCGAACAATGACTTCATATTCACAGAAATACCTCAACTGACTTGAAAGCACCAGAAATGAGAAGCAAAGTAAACCAGAAAATACTCTTTAAGTATTTTGCTAAAATAGTTAAAATAATATATAGCGTATTTTCTATAAATATAGTATACTGAATGCACCAGAAGCTTGTACTTCCTGAGAGCAGCCACTATGGTTTTAAAGACATCGACCACGACCGCATAAACGTCGAAACGACACCAACCAAATGGCCTCCGGACAATCACTGTAAACAGCATCATATTTACTTTTTAAAATCTTGCTTTTCTCATGGTTGCTTTCTCCTCTGCTAATAAGAGGCATAATGGGAAAGGTGGACTTCAAACTTGCTTTGGAAAATTAAACAAATTCATTCATTCATTCATTCATTCAACAAATATTTAGTGAGGAGCTACTATGTGCCTGGATTATGTGCTGGAGATAGATACAATAGTGAGAAAAAAACAAATCGGTCCCCTCTATTATGAAACTGTCTAGGGGGACAGACAGACAATTTCATTACTAAATAAACGCATATGAAACGTCCAAACTCATAGTCCTGATACAGCCACAACATTAATGCAAAGAAAAAAGAAAATATTTATGTTTTATGTTTTTTTCATAATTCCGAAATAACTATAGCTTTCATTACACAAAACGTCTTTCGTGTTCTTTTGGAGAAAAAAGACTGAAGTGAATATGGAAAATCATCTGCTCAAACTGATTTAATAAGTATTCTTTGTGAACAACTAACACTTCCTCACTTGAGGAAGACCGACGCCTACACGTACATTTACGTTTACGTTTGTATTTGTGTCTCTCCACAGCACCTGAAACATCGCTACGTACGTGCACACTCCCTGCGAACAAGGACCCTTTCCATGTCACTCACGTCTGTTTCCATGTCACTCCAGCACTTAGAACCGTGCCCACCACAGAGTAGATGGACTTGACACTTTTTGAATGAACGAAATGAATAAATGAATGAATGAACCGAGAAACAACAGGGGTTGGAACAGCTAAAATAACGTGAGAAGTGTGACTATGGCCCAAAACAATTTGAACTACGCACTTTGCTAAGACGCGGCGAGCGGGCGCGGAGAGCCGCAGATGCTGGCTGATCTGACAGATGGTGGATGAAAGGCACCG